TGAATCCTTTCCAGGAAAATAGGCTTTGATTGCGCTGACTATAACAAGAGAACATTAGAAGCTAATTTGTTAGTGGGTTTATTATCACCTTTTACTAGAAATTTGAATTTTTTTTTTAAGTTGGAGATGGGGGGAGGGAGGGAGGGAGGAAAGAGAGAGAGAGAGAGTTAAGCTTAGCATTAATGTTTAGAATCTCCTTGGTAGTGATACTTAATCTTCAGATGGAGAAACTTTTTACAATTAGAAGAGACAAGAGTAGTTTCAAATTGTAAACAAGAACGTCACTGTAGACTATCTGTAAGAAAAATCTTACTGAAAGTCTCAACATCTGTTTGTTATTAATCAGTATTTTATCTTTTGATATGTTTCACATGTTTGATCTCAGTTTCAAATACCCATATTGTTTCACCAAACATTTGGCTTTATGGATTTTTTTTAAAAATATAATTTATTTTGGGGTTCCTTCTCACTTGATTCCTCTCCATCTTTGTAATGATAATTTATTTTGGGGTTCCTTCTCACTTACTTGATTCCTCTCCATCTTTGTAATATTATGTCTTAGACAGCACTTCACGAAATAACAAATACATGCTGCAGTACTTTCCTACTTGGCTAGTTTTAGGTAAAAAAACTTCTTCAGTCGAGTTAACTTATCATTTTTAAGCACCCAAAGTCATTCTGGGCAGTTTACAATACAAATAGAAAGCCATATGCCCTGCTATAAGAATATGAACTCTATGCCCTAATCCTGCAGAGATTTAAACAGGTGCTTAACTTCATGTTTATGGATAGTCCCATTGTAGTCCACAGAACTAGGTGTGTGTAAAGCAAAGCACGTATAAAAGTGTTTTGATGTTACATAATTAGGGTAAACAAACAAAAGGGAATGGGTAGAGGGAGCAAAAGAATTATCACAACAAAATCACATCGGTATTCAGTTTAGGCATATACACATCTAGCTCTTTCAGTTATAAGTTCCTCATTAATGTCTTGTCCTTCTTAATTTTACTTCAGATGAAGAGTATACTATTTAATGTGGTTTGGAATGTTGGTGTACAGTTCTCTCACACACAGCACAGATGAAGCACCATTTCAAAGATAGTGGTTTTCAGTTAAGATAAATTCCAGCTTCACAAAGCTGTCAACATGGGGCCAGATATTCTGGTCTTGTGTTCAGTTGCGTGTCAAAAAGTAAATGTAAACCTGCTGGAACTTCCCTGTGGAGAACTCTCCCTGCATAGTAGAATATCCTGCAGTTGAAGGCATATCCTATGCCAGCTGCCCTGTCTATCTCTTCCCCAGTGTGGGTGAGAGGAGGGAGAATGAGTGGCTGGGGAGGGACCATTGGACCTGGTACCCTGCTGACTTATATGTTTGCGGGGTGAGAGGAGGGAGAATGAGTGGCTGGGAAGGGACCATTGCACCTGGTACCCTGCTGACTTACATGTTTGCTCTGTGGGGTAGAGGCCTTATGTTGCCCTAGCTTCCCCTGGGGTCAAATGACTTGAGACCAGTGAGCCCAACTGGACACAGTGGAGAATTGGTGCCAGTTTAAGTATGTCAGAGTATATTGTACATTCCTAAAGTTACAAAATGGCACCTAAAGATGCACTTGTCTCTCATCCCTTGTGTATATGCTTTACAGCACAGCCTTTAATCATACCATACTACTTTTTTTCCTTACGGACTCTGCCTCCCCTAGTACTCAGGATTAGTGGTCTAGAAATGAGTTCACTATTCTGTATTTCATTTTGATCATCATTTCAGCTTTTGGACCAATGTCTGGTTGGCTAACCTTGGAATAGGACTACTCAGAGCCCTTCCTCCTTCTATGTGCATGAATACAAATCATAACCCAGAACTCATACTCTTAAACCCTTAGTCCCACTCCCAATATAAGCAGATGTGCACTGCCAATGAGATCCAGAGATATTATTCTATGGAAAGTCCCTTTCAGTGTATAAAGCACGCATACTTAGTATCCATGGAATATTGAGCGTCCTCTACTTTTAAGCATTTCATACAATCCAGTGTATGCGCTCAAGCTGTTTTTGTTAAACCATTGCATCATAGCCAAATCAAATCTAAGAGTGCGTCTAGACTACAGAGCTTTTCCGAGATACCAGAGGTATCCCAGAAAAGTTCTGCCGCGTCCAAGGAATGCATCTGCTTTTCTGGGGAAAAAATGCTGTAAAAGCGGGGAAAAAATGTTGGGAACTGGTCCGCATTTCCAAAAAAAGTTGGAAAAAAATGTTTTTTCGGCATCCCGGTAAATCTTGTTTTGTGACTAAGAATGGATATTCTGAAAGAAGGTATTTTTCTTGACATTTGGCCCTGTGTAGATGGGCCAAATGTCAGAAAAGCCTTTTTTGGAAGAAGAACGGAAAAAATACACACATTGTGGTTTGCAATTTGCATATCTTTTCCCAACTTTTCTTTGTAGTGTAGACATAGCCTAAGTTTCCCTTGGCCTATGGAAGGCACCTTTTTGACTAAAGGGACTATGACCCTGCCGAATTTCGAGCCTCTTCTGCTGAGGTGCATGAGTTGTACAAAGAGAGGTTGCAAATGTGGGATTTTTTTCTCTCCCAGCAGAAAAGCTGCCATTTTGTCCTCCTGCTCCTTTCATGCTTGAAAACAGCTCAACTGTTTTTAATTAAACTGGCAGCGAAAACAAATCACTTCTTGACCAAGAGCAAGTGAGCCAAAGTTCATCTGAAAAGGTACAGCTTTGAGAAGTTAGAAGCCACTGAGGATGATCTTTTATAGTGGAAACATGTAGGCAAACTCTACCAGAGGTGTCATTATACATATAGCTTATAACATCTAATTTATTTATAGAAAATGCTGATGCTATATGTTGCATCAATGATCTAGAGTATGGCACCGCTATAATACTGATGAAAGCAGATGGTCACTTTAGAAGTGTCAGTGGAAAAAATTGATGGAATTTGGGAGGGAGAAACGATACTCTCTACATGCTGCTTACAAATTGAGGTGCATCCCCTGGACACATGATACATTGTAGATTTTTAAAGTACTGTACTACATGAGTGTCCTTTTTCTTCTGTAATTTGATCCTTGAGGAAATAGTTAATGTTGACATTTTCTGTCAGTGTTAACACCCACTGAGCAGGACAGAGAATTCAGACTCCTCTGAATTATCATTTGAGGCTCTCTACTCACCCAGACAGACTGCACGGTGTTAGTTTATGTGCAGTTCTGACTTCGGAAGCTTTCTTCCCAACACTCTATTATTTATTTTTATTAAAAAAAAAACGGCTTAGATGCAGGAGTACTAGGTGTCGTTCTCCTAAATAAATAATACCAGCTTGCTGAGTAGCTACAAGGCAGCCACATTAAACCCCCTGCAGCTGAACAGTGCATAGTTGTCTTTTTAAATTTTGAGCAAACAAGCATCCTTCCATAAGAGCATAAAACAAACACACACATTTGATGCTTTCTACTAGCAGTGAAACCTTACCAGAATGATATTGACTGATGAGAAGGGTTACTAGTGATACTCCTTTTGTTTTATTGCTAAAAGTGGGTCAGATGGGGTAGGATAGGATTGGCTCTACCATCTGGAATCTAAAACTAGTTTTACATTTCAAAAACTATGAAAGGTGTCTGGGTTTAAGAGTAGCATCTTTAGAAAATACAAAATACCTGCAGGTAATGTTTCAGACAAACTATTCATCATTTTTTTAAAAATACTGGTTATACTAATTTAAACCAAACCCAAGAGTCAAGTTTAAAGCTGGGGAGGGAACGATTTAAACATTTAAAGGGGAGAACGAATGAACAATCCATATGCATCTTGATCTATTAAAGTCAAGAGGCAAACTGCTGGGTCAGAGGTTTAAATTTTATATTAAATCAAAGTGTTTTTTTTTTTTTTTTTTAAAGGAGGGTGCCTTGCACTAAGGAATTTGATTGTATTTATCACCAGTTAGTCCTGGGAAGTGACAGCTCTAAAAGCAATTTTAAAGCTAATCCTAGTAACTGTATGAACAAAAATTTGTCTGACTATTATTGGGTACGTCTTAAGCTGAGCAGATCCCTGGTGTGATATATTTACATAACATGTTACCCCCCCCCTTTTTTCCCCTTTCTTCTCATTCAATAGCTACAACAAACCATCTACCCCATAATGGTTAGTAAAGCACAGAGCTTGATGCAGCCTTGGCTGAGGTCAAGCACTCCAATTCTAACCTCTCAAGGGTTTTCTCTGTGTTGCCAGTGTACTGGTAAAAATGACTTTAAACTCTTGTCAGTGCAGTTACTGGTGCATGCATCACAGTCCCACTCAAATAAACCTGTCACAACACAGAGTCAGCAGCTAGAGAAGAGTACAAGGGCAGGCCTCTAGCTTTTCATTCGAGCATCACTAAACGTGCACAGAGTGCCCAATTATTTCAGCATTATTGAGCAAGCCTACAGGAGGACCCAAGCCTTGCTACATTAGATTTTCTTTAGTAATTTGCTGAAGTACCGCTGAGGACACTTAAAGGGCTTAAAACGGTGGCTGCAACCAGTTTCCTTTTCTGGGTTGTTAATTCAGGTTTTCTCTTTCAAATTAACTCTCACTGCATGCTGTGCAGTAGCGCTGGGAGAACTGTTTAACACTAATTTTCTCAATTTTCAGCTTTTTTTCACTCCCCCTGCTATAACTGCTTGCATAGTTATTCACATATGTTTTGATTAGACATGTATGTAGTGTGTCTCTTTCCATATGGAAAAAAAATTCATTACTTCTGTCAGAGTAAACTGAGTTTGTGTAGAACTGGCAAATCTGTTCAATCGATTCTAAATATTTTTTTCTTTAATTCAACCTGCTATCTAAATGAGACTTAGTCAGTAATATCCCTAAATATATGGCCATCTTTGAAAACGTACGTGTGTGTGTGTGTGTGTGTGTGTGTGTAATTGTCCTATATCTGTCTGTCTCAACTCCCTTTCTCAGAACAAGTTCAATATCTGTGTTTAATTTCTCACAGCAGCAACAACTCCAGGCCCAGCATTTGTCACATGGACACGGTCTCCCAGTGCCTCTCACTCCACACCCTTCTGGCTTGCAACCTCCAGCCATCCCACCAATTGGCAGCAGTGCTGGCCTCCTAGCACTATCCAGTGCGCTGGGTGGACAGTCCCACCTACCAATTAAAGATGAAAAGAAACACCATGAAAATGATCACCAAAGAGGTAGGAGCGGATTGAAAGACATGATTTTTTTTATCTTCCAAGTATGATAAATGTATAATTTTATGTAAACTAACTAGTACTTTTCTCTTTGTATTTCCCCCTGCTGCCTCCTCTTCCTGCTTATGTTGCTGCTGTTCTGTATGCAGACAGAGACTCCATAAAGGTAGGACTCTATTTCATAGGTGGAAGGAGCAACTAAAAGAAATGTGTGGTGCATTTTATTGCAGTTTGATCTAAAAATGTACAAAAATGTCACAAATTGAAACTGGATTGTGATGTTTGTTCTGATGAGCGGAGTCTCATGTAGATACAGTGTTTCATTAAGAAAGTGTTTAATAATATACATGTCAAGGATTGTAGGATGATTTATTAGCCAGTGAGTTTAATTATCACATCTTTTCTCATTGGCTTAGTCTTCATAATTGTGTCCTGTTCCTAAATATGGAAGTGCAGAACAGTTCTTATGTCGCACTGAAGAGCAGGGAGGATGGGGGCGGAGGAAATGGGCTAGTATGTGATATTAACTCTTTGGAGCCTGCAGACTTATGCTCTGAATATATTCAAAAGATAAACTTGTCTGCAACTGTGAAAAAGAAATGAATTGTACAATGTGTGCAAATAAAATTTTACTTTCTAACCACTTGGGTTCTCCTTCTTAGAAATGGTTTATTCCTAAGCCGTATCTAAGTTGTATAGGAAACCTATTTTTCTAGTGACTCTCACATTTTCCCCATCTCCCTAAAATAATTCCCTGATCTTGAATTAATCTCTATAGGTAGATCGTCTGAGTGTGAGCATGGCCATGTAAATGTCGGAATGTATAATGGGACACACGGCATCTACAAGAGTGATTTGTGTAGTTGTGAATGTAATAGTCTGTTTTCTTTTATTTGTATAAGCACATATATCAGGATGCTCCTCTATACCTGGAACACAATCAAATTGTGTGTGTGAATTGCATGAATGTTCAAATCTGGGCTTGAAAAATGTACCCTTCCTCGATTAGCATAAAAATAAGCTTAAGTGGGTGCTTTCTAGTATGAAAATAGGAGGGAAAAATGTATTTCCAGCAATGCTTCCCAAAAGAATAACATCTTTCCGTACTGTTTGCGTACAAGTAACAATAGTACCAAATTGTCAGTCGACTTTCTAATATTTTATATAAAAAGTATGTAATTTGCTATTAGGGCGGGTTAAAAGCAGAAAACTGTTGGTTGACTAAATCTGACGTAGGATTGGCAATATTACCACATGCTTAATAGACAGAGAAGTATATTTTTTGCCCAAGTGGTTCCAAAATATTGGTTATAAGGTCTGGGAGGGGGTTGTGACCTGAGAAGGGGTGTAGGAAGTGATGCAGTGTCTGAGAAGGTGTGTGGAGCCTGTGACAGGGGTGCAGAAGATTTGGGTTACATGAGGTAGGGGTACAGGAGAGCAGAGGCTGGGGGATGGAAGGAGGGGCTGGGGTGCCAGAGGCAGGCTCTGGCTGGGAGACGCTTACCTGGGTGGCTACCAGTCAGCAGCCCTGCAGGTTTCTTAGCCAGGATTCCTGCCTGTCGAGCCCCTGTACCTACTCTCAGAAGCTAGAGGCCATGTTTGCAGCTGTGAACTGAACACTGAGAGCCTGGAGGATGAGCGGGGAGGCTGCAAATAGGCAGTTGCTGTTGGCCTGAAATTGGCCAATGGAAGCTACAGGAAGTGGGGGCAAGGTGAGAAGCCTCTTGCCCCCTCCCCCAGGCTCACAGCATTCAGAGTTGCACACATGACCCTGTGACTGGCTTTACTGAGTGCTGAGCAGGGTCAGGCCAGGCAGGGAGCCGGATGAGACTCTCGTGGGCCGGATCCAGCCCATGGATCATATTTTGCCCAGCCCTGGACTAGTATGTCTGATAAATTCTATTTCTTCCATCCAAAGCACTCCACTTCCCTGGTTACTCTTTCTCCTCTCACCTACAAGTCCCTTGGATGCTAGGAAAAGAGGTGTTTCTTTGATTTTGCTGCTTGCCTCTACACTACTGTTCCCTAGCGTGCTACCACTGGCAATTTTGCCAAGTTACAGCACAATGAAACTGATCTGATAGCCAGTTTTATTGTTAGTAACAACAGGGTCTAAATATCAGCCATGAGCTGTTAGTTTTTACTGTGATAGTAGAGGCACAGCAGCTGACTGTCTGCAAACTCAGGAAGACAACTCTACATCAGTTTGCAATTTATTTAATTTCCCTACCACAGTGATTAGAAACAGGATTTTTGTTGTTAAACAGAAGCTTACATGGTACAGAAGTTAAGAATATTTCTCCTCCTCTCTGGATCAATAGTTCAGATTTTTTTTTCAGTTTCTGATTAATAATATATAAATAAATGTGAACACATTAGACTTAAATTACCCAGGTGATATCCTCCATCTGTCTGAAGTCATAATAAAATGTTACTCTTCTTGCAATGTGAGTTATATATACACATACATAAATAAAAATGAATGGTGTTCCATTAAAGTACATAGTACACTAATCACTAAACTAAAATAGTGTGATGCTAATAGTACAGGATGAATTCAGCTTCCTTATTCTCCCCCCTCAATCAGCTCCCTTCCCCCTCTCCCCCCCAAAAAACCAAGAGGTAGGGGAGCTATAGAGCTATACACTATATTTTTTGCTAATGCTGGAACAGTAGCTTTTGTTCATCTTGTTCTGTAATTATGTGGAGTGATTCAGTGAATGATCATATGTACAGCCAGAGAGACAGAGAGAAAGGTGTGACTATTTTGTCCTGATTTATTATGGAATGATAGCTATAAATAGATGTTTGTCTTGTATACTGTTCAAATTGAGTTGGATTGTGTTAGCTTTTAGGGCTTGCTGCCAGCTTTGCAAGGTGAAATAGTTTGCTAATTTCCTTAAATGTTTTCAGTGATGCCCAGAGTAGCAGTTAGTCGCTTGTTCTATTGATCTGTCCTCCCTTAAGTGGCCCTGGTTAAGAGAGGCTTTTATGATTGTCTGCTGTGTGACTTGAGATGGTTTTTATCAGCCAGAACGTGCCAGTTGCCAGCAGCTGGAGTCTGTGTGCTTGTATGAAATAATTTATTCATGCAGGATAATGCTCCTTAACATTTAACAGGTAATGAACGTGACATAAATTTCCTTCTTGCTTTTAATTTTTCCCTTTCCTCTTCTAATGTGCAAACAGGCAGCTCTGGTACTCTAAATAATAAGTAATTTTTGGCCATCTGTCAAAAGGAAATTTCAATACAAATTTAAATTAATGGTGCCTGAAATTTTTTATAGCTCCTCTAAAAGCCTCTAATGTGCAGAAAATCCTGAATCTGCTGGTAGTAATTAGTGTAGCATGTAATGAGGATATGGGCAACATTATACAGCCCCAGTGTAACGTTTTGATATGGTAGCAAAATTTTGATTTATACAGGGTTGTATGGCTAGGTTTAATTGTGAGAGACAGTTTAAAGTGTTTTCTTGACGATATAGATTATTAAGCAGGGCAGGTTTTAGAATAGCTCATAAAATATAAATTTAGGCTTTACTGCAAGATTCAGGTAATTAGGGTACTTTGCCTATTGGTATAAAAAAGGAAGATGGGAATTTAGTTGTAAGATTCTCTCCCACCTCTTACCCCTCTTTCAAATAAAATTCTGTTGGCACTAATTCCAGTGTTCTTGACCTGTCAGCCAGTTGTCTTCATTGAAGTTGCCCTCTGTAATTATACTGGCCTTTACCATACATTTAGTTCTCCCTGGGGATGAAGGAAACAGTTGATTCACTAACACTAGAAAATTTTCAAATTTGAATCCACATGGAAGAGTCCAGTGTACGAAATTACTCCCTACAAGTAAGAAAGTGGGTGTGGGTCAGTGTAGGGTAAGTAATACTTCTTACACACAAGATTTTGCAGACTCTTCAGGGATTGTGGTTTAAAAAAAACACCTCATTCATGTCCTTGCTGAACACTGAAGCCAAAATCAATGGTTGGAACAGTGAAGTAAGGCAGGCTGACATCAAAAGCCAGCTCTTGAGGCAGTGGTGCAAACAAGAAAGGCACAATCATACTTCAGTTTATATCACCCTTCTAAGTGGAACATTTTCTGCCTGATAAACCAAACCAGACTTGGATCCTTTCAAACACATCCCCGGAGTAAGCAAATGACTGCTGCAACTAATTAGGAACCTTCTAGATAACATGAACATGTCCAGCATCAACACAATAAGGCCCGGCAAGGAAGAAAGCTTTTTGGAGCATTCTGATTTTGTGTTGGATTTAGTCATCAGAATCCTTTACAAAATTAAAGTATGGAAAACTGAGTACCCAATAAAATGTGTCATGGGAACTCTGTGTATAGACTCAAAACGAGCAGGACAAACCAAAGGGAGAAGTGAATCACAAAGGCAGTTCTAGAAGTGTTGATATTTCAGGGACTGTGATAGAGAATAGACCTTTCTTTTTAAATTTATAGATGCCTTTACAAAATATTCTGATCTTTTACATGAGCATTAAAACTCTGGGAGGAGGAGCAAGAGGTAGCGTATTTTTAGAAGTTATTCTGAAGCACTATACAAGGGGAAAGACATGATTCTTGCTGGCAAATTGTTCTTGGAATTTCCATGTCTATAAAAATTCATCAAATAGGAGACCGGGATCTTCTCCTGATCCACATTTTCCTGTAAAAAGAGATAAGAGGATCTCCTCTGTTCCTTGACAAAAGTTGCCTGTGGCAAAATTATCCTGAAAGCAGAAGTGAAAGTAAGCACGTTTCTTCAGGTGTGCGTCTCCGGCAAGAGCTAGCTGAGTTGTGGCAAAAGCCAGCAGGGAGCTATTTAAAGAGCTGGCATGGACTCACGTTGCAATAGGGCAGTACCTGTAAGAAATTCTAAGTTCCTTTCACCGCTGCCTGTAAGAAAACTGAGGAAGCGTGTGTGGGGGGGGGGAGAGTATCGTATGGGAGGAAGCGTTGTGTGTTTAGAGGTCTTTCCCTTCTGTGTAGCTTTCTGTATGCTATACCTTTAAGAAATGGACCAATTAATGTTGGCTATGTTGTGGGACAGTCAGAGAGAGCTGATGATATTTGTTTGCTTTTATAAAAACCTACTAAGGCTTCTGAACCATCATTTGGGACATTTTGAATTATGTAATGGTATAGTTCTGCTACTGTTA